GTGTGCATTACACTATCGATGCAGCAGCTATTCAGTGTTTTTCTTACGTAATTCAAACAGCTAAAGATCAATAATTAGGACAAACATAGTTCTATAGGTTAATCTGACTACAAGGAGAGTCTAACTGTTTGATGTATTGAGTCTACTACACTTTCAACCATGCTGTCCTTTAGGGGCCTGTTTGCAAGTTTGCAGGAATCGGGCATAAATTCAGTCCTCACAGCTGTGGATCATGGTTTGTGTCATCATGCTGTCAAAAATACTAAGAGCTGAACACCTACAATGAAATGCTCTTCCATTCAGCTTTTAATTTTTTTTTCTGATTGACCTCCTTAATCTTGAAGAAAGCCCGATTCATAAAGGTATTCACATGTGTCTGCAGGAAACAACATGTTATTTGCACTGTCACAATCACTCACTGTTAAGTTTGGATGTGTCTCTGACTCTTTGAAGCCTGTAGACCAAACAGTTGATCATTACACTGCAGCTGGAAGACCAGGTCTGTGTGTCCCCACATATGGTACAAAAAAAAATCCTGTTTTTCAAAATAGGTTCAGCTTTGTTCATCCGCATTGTCCTTAATACTCTTTCATAACAGGCAGGAAATGAAGATTTAAGGGCCTATTTTGGCCTCACAGATCATTTCAGCAGCTCAAAGTTTGTGTTTGATCCCGTCTTCACACTCAGAGAGACACCAACCCCATCACCTCTAACCACACGCTCTCTGCAGGCTGCAACCAGAAGCTTTGACCTGGTTTATACTACACAGCTATCGCCGACTTGACCTTCAACACAGGCGGGGAGAGTACTGCCTCCTTGCCATCGTCTCCAACTGGGAGGGTCCCTTCGAGACGGAGCATGTCGGCCGACAGGAACCAAAAACACTGTTTGTTTTGACAGCGGAGGATTTCAGATTCTGCCGTTTCTCTTCTCCATGTGCTGCTACGGCATGCAGTCTGCATGTTCCTGCTGACAACCTGAATATCTCAACCCATACACACACACACACACACTCACACACACATACACACACACTCCCTCTTCAGCCAGCTTGAGGCGGTGGAGGTTGGCCTCGGCTGTGCTAGGTTGTATAACAAACTCCCCTGCAGATCTTGTTGAGTCGTGTTCAGTCATACAGGCCAACTAGGATGCCAGCTGCAAATGCATTTAATGATAGACTGCAGATTGTTTTAACATTAGAGGGGGTCACTGTGTGTAATTAGGGGAATTATGGGCTCGTTATTCTAGTTCTGGAGTTGCATCTTTATCCTTATGTGTACATCACATCACGGGCTGGGGGCGGGGGCATATGACTGGGCCGTTTGAATCCACTTAGGCCCATGATAACATCACATGCATACATATACCAGCAACTTACCGCATATTTTATACATGGTTATGTCATTTTGAGGTCAATCAAAAGGACATGAAGTCTAACAAACCAAGAGATCAACAAAAACATTAAACTACCTGGCGCCTAATAACAAAACAACAAAATTCAAAGCGGTTCATCACAACGGATACCGAGTGAAAATGAAGCCAGTCATGTAGCACAACATACAGTATTTTACACCCAACTACAGTATCAATGATGACTTATCCTGACAGAGGAAAACTATATAAGCCTTGGTGGTGATTAAAAACATTTGTTAGCTGGTTCCATCACCTGACCCGGGCTGGGAGAGTGCTGCCCCAGCCCCTCTCGAAGCCCCGCCCCTGGTGTATGTGTATGTGTGTGATTTCAAAGTTTTCATAGGCTTACGCATAATGTCATCATACAAATAACTGCATGATGAGTCAAATTAGGTAAGGTCAAGCCAAAGCTGGGGAGACACATTACCTAATGAATTTAACCAGTACACAGACTAACCTAACATTTTATCATCCTTTTCTCATGATGTTCAAATTAAGGATTTATCCACATGAGTTAGGAAACACAGATATTCAACTGATTAGTAACAAACCAGTTTTATCATTGTTTTTACTTTAGCAATAAATCCTTGAAAGTCTGTTTTTGAAAATGCCTAATCATCTCTCAGAAGACATGCAATCATTTAGACAGTATATAACACAATAAAACAAACAAAGCCACAAACAAAAAAGCAACTTGCTAATCCAGGAGAGAGTACTGTTGGAGCTGGTGTTTGTTAAAAGAGCTGTCTCGTTTGTGTCCACCAGAAATAACTTTGATAAAACCCACTTAGACCTTGAGTACAACACTTAATCTCTGTGGGATAAAAGTGGCGGATGGCAGCTGTCATCAACATGCACCTTAATGAACTGTTAACTCACCTCAGTGTGAACCTGAAAATTACACCTGTCAGAAGAGTGACCCTGACCTATATGTTGTCAGTGTTGAATTTGAGTCTCTGCTGTTGTTAAATACATTTGCATGTCCAGTGTTTTCCCCCCTGTGTAATGTAGACACTGGAGAGTGAAGCAGTGAGAGTCTTATCTGTGATAATAATGGCGGCGTGCTGACAGGTCACATGCAGCAAAGCACAAACAGCAACGGCAGACTGTTGTGTTATTAATAGCAATGACAGCACAGATTTGGCCACAACTGCAAACACAGCAAAGAAGAGGGTGCGAGGTGTTTCAGACACGTGGCTCGTCTACGTTATCTTCTGTGCAAGTCTGTAAATGTGCGATTTATGGCTCCTGTTGTAAGTTTTTAGATATTACTACTTTCACTGAATTTCACTAAAGCCTCTTTGTCTACATAATGCAAGAGTTTACTGTTAGGCCTGCTGACTTTAACCTCCTGAAATCAGTGTAACATCTGTCTGTTATTACTCATTTCCTGATCCTGTAAATTTTATTGGCTCTGTTTACAGGACTCTACATGAGCTGCTGATGTTGTTATTGTTGTTGTTGTTGCTGCTCTCCCTCCTTCTCTCTCCGCTAATTTTATAGTCCAAAATATTCGGGCTGTATTACAGGAGATTTTGAGAATAAATTTACATGTCTGTGTCTCATTATAATCTAAAACTACAATCATAACCTGTCAAGAATTAAACCTTATCTTAACAAAACACTTGAAGTCTCCTAACATTATGATGTTGTTCTAAAAAAAAACTATTTTGTTCACATGATAACTTTGTTCTCTTTACAATGATGACATTGTTCTTGGAACATGATGACTTTAATCTGGTAACATCATGTTTATCTTCTTTTAACATAATGACTGTGTTCTTGTAACATAATCATTTTGTTCCTTTTAACATAACGGCTTTATAATAATGGCTTTGTTCTTGTAATAAATGACGTGTAACATAAAGACTATTCTCAAGACTCACTGACTTTTATTCTGTAGAGTAACAACCTCAATCCCGTTACATTAAGGCTTCATTTTCAAAATCTTGATTCTTATTTTTTTTATTGTGGCCCAGTTACTCTGCTGCAAGGATTAGGCCCTTAAATTTATTCACAACTTTTTTCACTTTTGCCTCCTTTTTTATGATATAATTTTACTTTTTCAAAAACCCTCAAAAAATGTATCTTCCACGTGGCCAAAAACTCTGCCATCAAAAGTAAAGCTAACACTTGATCCAAGAAGTATAAACCCCAGATCTTATTATAAAGTGTGCCTTTTCCTAGCTAAAATGCACAAAATTCCCAAAATATGTACGACTGCACCCCCTCACCCTCAAACTGCACCTGCCACTGTCAGGCCTGACCTATTGTACATGCTGCAGCTAAATAAGACAACCAGAGCAGCCATTGTGTGGAGAAACTGATGGCCAATTTTTCAGTGAATTGTGATTGATGCACAGAAAAAGTAAACTATTTCTTCAGAGCTGTGAGACTGTGAATTGGGGCAGGTTTTGACTGAAATGTGCTCCTCACTCAGTGGCAGAGACAGGTGGGATGGGGGGTCGGCTGTGGGGGGGTTTCACTGTACAGAAACAGAGTTCAGTAGTAGAGTTTGTTTCCCGTTGAGCTCCTTCACCTGCTATCATGAGATTCATCTGCATTCAGCTGTTGCTCACCAGGTGAAGAGTAAACAGAGCTCCACATTTCTGCTCGACTCCCCCCTCCTCACCCTTAAACCTCCACATCTCTCACCCAAAAGAGAGACTGCAAGTAGGTCAAATGAATTCACACTGTTTGTTTGTTACCTGGGGATATGAGCTAAAAACAAATACGTAAAGCCTCAATCTAATATCTTTAACCCGCAAACAGCCACATATTAGTTTTGATTGTTCAGTTTTTTGTATATCCATGGGACTTTGATGATTAATAGAAGGTGAGACCATGAAGAAGCTGCTAATTCTCGACCAGGAGTAAAAAGAGCTCACGATAGACAGCAAGGAATCTCGTTAGATTATTCTATGGTGTTTATTTGCAGTTATAAAGATATTTGGGGGCTAAATGGTACATAAAATTTTGAAATTACCCCATAAAGTTGTAAAACTCAAGGGGATCCAAGAAGCACTGGAAGACCATCTCAGGGGCACTTTTTTAAACCTTATATTAAGTGAAAGAGCATCTAGAGGGTACTAGTTTTACTGTTTTACTGAAAGATCACTGGAAGGGCATGAACAGGGTACTTTTCCAGACTTAATTTGTTCCTGGACGAACATTGAAAGAGCGCTTTTTCTACCTTTGTTACAGAGGGTACTTTTTGACAATAAGCCCACCAAAGGGGCATCCAGGGGATACTCTCTGAAACTTTAGTTTACTTGACTGTGCATTTAGAGGGCGTTTTTTGTTATACTGGAAGAGAATCCAGAAAGCTAATTCTTATTCTCTAATTCGCAATAACAATTGATGCAGCTTGATGGCCCTGATTTAAATGTTGTTGCTGGTGTCATACGTGCCCAAATCTCTCCACATTCACAAACATCTCCTGATGTAAAACTTAAGTGAAATCAAAATGACCATTTTTGAGTCGCCCTCTCTTCCTTGACTTTCATCTGCTTGTGTTTCACAGGGTGTGGGGTTTTGTGATCATTTGTAGGGTTTTGTGATAAAGATCTCAGGCTGTAGGTGGGAAGCAGAGGAGTGAAGAGAGGATATCTGTAGACGAGTGAGTGGAGATCTGAAATAATATTTCTGCAGCAAAGTCAGATTCAGAAAGGTTAACAATATAAAAACTTGAAATGAAACGTTGCTTTTGAGCTTCAAGGTCGTGTTAAATGGTAACAAATTAAGTTTTATTTCAGCTTATGCATCCACGGCCCTCTTCATCTTCATACAGAGTAATAGATAATCATACCAAAGAAATTATTCAAATCAGCCTCAACTTTGGTGCCATCAGGAGGGACTTTTTCAGGCTGACGGAACACCTCAACTTTTCACATTTGGACAAAACTCTGAAAATACAAACTTGCGTTTATGCAAAGAAATGAGACACAAACATAACTCAACATTTTTTGGCAACATCGTAAATCTCATATCCAAAAACCTGGATATAATGTGCATATTAACTTACCACCAAAGTCTCAGCCCAGTGAAACCATTTCTGTGGTTGGTGGTTATCGAAACTCTCCAGTTCCATCTCATTGTGGCCTGAAAAGGAGTATCGGTGGATGTTTGAAAGCGTTAAACACATTTTGGTTTGAAATTCCACCCTCTGTGAACTGAAAGCAGCTGTGTTTCTGTCCCTAAACAGTGATGATTTCTGACCACACTGTTGGACTGCTGACATTATTACAGTTGGCTGCAGATGACCTGCTGGGACTGAGGCTGGGTCAAAGGTCGGGCTGTGGGTCTGAGGTCTGTGGAATATGTTTGGCATTGCTGTTATGTGAGAAAAATTCAGTAAATAAACAAAATGTGGTTTAGGAAGATTAAACCCAAACTCTGACTGACTCTCTGGAGCGCTGAAATGGGAATCATATATTGATAAATTGGCTAATCAATAGAGCTGTTGTTTTAAAAACTTGGTAATGCTTTCTTTTATGGTACACTTATTACCAGGTAATTAACAGGTAATTACCTAGTAACAACATGAAATTATCTGGTAATTACATGATAACTACTAAGTCAATACTGTCTATTTTTTCTTTTTTCTGTGCAGCTCCATTTTCAAAAGCTATTTGGGGTTTTTTTATTCTATGATTGACACTTGATACAGCCTATGGGCGTGCGAAGACTGCATAGCGATACGCTGTTTGAGCCGAGCATTATCACAGCGACTCACCCACCAAATGCGTACAATGCTACTGCACAAGAGGTGGTTCCAGGAAGCGGAGAAAATCCTGGAAATACCAGAGCAATTCAGCTTCAGATTTGTATGATGATGGAAGGTTACCTACCTGGTAGCTAGACATTATTGACTTAGTAGTTATCATGTAATTACCAGATAATTTCATGTTGTTTCTAGGTAATTACCTGGTAATAAGTGTACCGTAAAAGAAAGGGTTATCAAAAACTTATATTTACCCATTGAGCCAAAAGCATATGAGAGAAATAAATGTATCATTTTAGGGGGTAGGGTATTTTTGATGTCCTCAGCTTGTTACTGATGGTTTTGAGAGTCCAGCTTTTGTAAACACGTGGCCATCAAGTTCAGCAGCCTTCTTTAGATCAGTGATCTCATACAGACCCAAAAATCTAGAACTGTAGTCCTCTTTAAGACTTTTGTGTTTACTCTCAAAAACAGTGATATTTCTGAGGTTTCTATATTTCTGTATTGGATCGGTTTTCTTATAAACAGATCTGCAGTGAGGTGAGACTTACAGGTTCAAGGACAGTCAGTGAGGCTTCAGAAATACGTGCCATCTCCAGTTTCAGCTGAATGACACAGTCACCTTCATAGACTGTAAATCAGCAGATTACAACACAACACATGAGACCATGTTTGTGTGTTTCTGAAGCTCCATTCACCAACTGATATCTGCCAAAACCGCACAGAAATTTACAGAGATAAATCCATAAAACCTCCACTCTGACAGAAAGCATGAACACAGTGTGTCCTTCTTTAGAAACCACAGATAAAAACACAACATCCACATACTCCTCATTCCTCTGAAACACTTGCAGAAATGTTTTCAAGGCCACCCTGACTGCCAAACACATGCTCGCCATACTGCAGCTCAGAGCGCCACAAGTGTTTGACGAACCTGAGGATTTACAGTCAGTGAAAAATCTGCAGGAGGTGAACATTTCTCTTCAGGAACGTGTTTATCTCTCCGTCATATCACATTTAAAAACTGGTGGTGAGTTTTGCATCATCATCAGCATATTAAACAGATGATCCTGACACTTTTAACCACGGCCCATTTTTGCACACTTTACAGAATTCAAAGGTACAGCTCAGCAGTTAAACTGTGCCTGGACCAAATTTCACTTGAAGTTGACAAAAGCCCATAAAAGCCTGATCAGCTGCTCCTGACTGACTGGATGAATTCCTGTCATGTCAGAAATTTGGGTTGGCAGAACACAGGAGTTGTTGGTCTACCACTGACACTATAACGTAGTGTCTTTTCTTGTTGTTTGGCTTTTGTGTTTCTCACCCTCTGAGTATTTTTTGGTCTATAAGACGTCAGTAGATGTCTAAATGTAGTCTAGATGACTGGTCTAAAATCAGGCTACCACAGGTCTAAAAATGAAAGTTTTTTGGACATCTAAATTTCGACAAAGTTTAGACTAGCCGGCTAATGGAGGTCTGACTGTATATTGCTCAACGGCTATCATAATTTTTTGGTTCAGTATTTACAGATCAGTTATGCAACTCACAGTTGCTTTTTGACATAAATAGTTATTGAGTAATGAGTGAAAGTGCAACGTCTCAATTCCGTCTAAAAATATACAGAATCTAGACGGTTGAAATTATAGGTCTAAAAAAAAACTAGACGTTTAGTAGTCGTCTATTGCTCAGTAGGAATGTTTAAGTCTGCACAATATTTGGGGGCCACACAATAACACACACACACAACCCCTTATTTAGGCAGGAGTGGACCAGCAGCTCCCACACTCTGCAGGGTAAAACTGCTGTTGTTATCAGTGTGTTTCTGAAGGTTATATTTCTGGGTGTGTCGTTTGAAAAAAAAGACATTTATCCATCAATGAACATAAGGCTTTTTGGTGCGCAAACTTACTGCCTGCATTGGTGTTTAAGGCTTTAACAGGTATGCAGTGTTATTTTTATGTTTTGCTCAGGGAGTCTGTGAACCTCATTGGAAAAGACAGAACGTACAAGTCTGAGAGCCAAACGAGTCGAGTCAAGCAGAGGCAGCGAGACGATGTGTGCAGAAAAACATCATTTCAGTCTCTCTGTGGTCCAACGAGCAGAAACAGTAATCAGGGATGATCCTTGTGTCTGTTACCTCTGGGCTCAGACTGTCTGCAGCTCACCAGGTTACATAACGTTTGTTTTACAGGCCCGGGAGTCCACACACTAACACAGACTTGAACATGTGGGGATTCCTTCTCCCCAAAGGGCCGTGACCGCTCGGTGACAGATCTGTAGCAACAGCCTGAAGCATCAAAATAACATGAACTCCTTTATTATCTGTTCAAGGCTGACTTTAGCTATTACATACTGCACATGTGTGGAGACACTTCTCAATTAAATTCAAATTAAAATGCTGTTTTTGTGCTGTAATTCAAAGTTTCATATTATTTTGGTGAGCTACAAAAGAAATAAAAACATTGACCCAGTCTTCAGTACCAAGTCTAGTATCTTAGATATTTATAAGAAGTCTGGGCTCCAAAATCAGTCTTTCTAATGGGCTAAAAACGTGCGACACCTGCTCTCTGATCTGCCCTTTCAAAATAAAACACAACCTGAAGCCACTCTTAAAAATGTATGACTTATTTTTCCTAAAATAAAAACTTTTTTCATAACTTTACAACTTAACTCTCGAATGTTACTGCCTCTGTCTTGCCAGACTGTCCTGTGCCGAATCAAAATTTGACATTCTGTTTGGAGATCATGGACACCACGTCCTCCACACCATAGAGCAGAGGGGCCCTCAGCTTGTTGTCTACCAAAGCCTTGACGCTCAAAAGTAGAGGAGAGTTCAGTGAGTAGAGGAGATCCTAAACCTTTGAGCAGCTGAAATCCTCTATTAGGCATGAATCGGACAACATTTCACTGTCAGACTCTTGAACCTGGTCTCCTGAGCTCACTAACACGTGGAAATATTGGAAACTCCTCCGTGTGAAGATGGATATTGATAAAACGTGCTCAGAATTATGGGTAGGCCCTCGTGAGCTGAGCATAGACCTGTTGTTTCCTGTTTCCTGACTGAGGCCTGTGGTTGGCGTCCTTCTGTGGGTCAGAGGTCACAGTTTCTCCTTGTTATCCAAAGTTATGAAGAGGGGGAGAGTCCACTCAGGCCCCGATTGGCTGCCAAGCCAGACGCAGCACTGCCAAACAGGAAATGAATCACTTCAGAGGAGAAGATCTGGTCGTAGGTTGTTTGGGTCACATGTTGGACTCTGTGCCAGCTCTGTGATTATCTGTCGTCCCCCTGAGGCTCGACCAGGATCAGAGAAACATCCACAGAGGGCTAGATATGAGCTGTTAAGATCACCACGCCAGTGTCAAAGGGTGTCATCCGCTGCAACATCAAACAGCAAAGCAGAGATGAGGGGTCAGTGGCCACTGGCACACAAGCTGTTTCTTTATCAGCAAGTTCATTTTCACAGGGCTTTAGAAAAAACAAATTAGTTTCACTAAAATTCATCTAGTTTTAACCGTCTATCTTCAGGAAAATATTTGGATATCTGGTTTTTCAATCTTCATGATCCACTCCCAAACTGTCTCTGTCAGCGGTTTGTTGCTGGACTTTGGAGGCACTTAACTGACTTTCCTCTTCCCCTCAGTCCATCTTCAATGAGATCACATTTATTTATGCTTAAACCTTTCATTTTCATCAACTGCATTCACAGGACCATGATTATCAGAGAGAATGTCAGATTCTGATTGGTCAGTCTCTGGTGTTTCTCTGTTCCTACCTGGTTTCCTCTTTTCATGGTTCAGTTTTGACCTCATCTGTGGATGCAGTGATAAACTGTGTTCACAGGCCATGGTTTTTGAGCAAATGCAGTATTTCCCTGTCTGTTTTTAATGCAGTGTTGCCTCAGGGCCTCGAAATCAGGACCATTCAATCTTGATTTTGGTCGCCTCTGTACAGAGATTTATACAGAGACTCTTTGAATCTTTTGGTGGCTGTAAATAATGAAATATTTTTGTCCTTTTAAAACAAACTGATTTCAGATTTGATCAGATTTAATGACTTTCATTGATCTGCATGTCATTAAAGTAATAAAAAGATGGCCCGTGCTCCAATTTAGCAGAAGAAGATTATAATTCTTGAGGCGCAGCGTCTTCAGAGTCTGCTGTCGTCTCTGCTGCTATGATTGAGTCTGAAGAAGGTGCAGGTGTCTTTGACAGAGATTGGGGAGCCTGTGAGTTCAGCCTTTTCAGGATCTCAAAAGAGTTTATATTTTTCTTTAAAGGTGATTGAACAGCGGGTAATAGAAGCTTCTTTGTTGGAAAGACCGAGACCTTAGAAAGCCCCAACCTCCCCCCCAGCCCCTGAGTCTTTGCTCAGTAGACCCCCGTCTGATGTAAGCCATCCATGAGTCTCTCTTAAGATGAGCAAACCTTCCCTCTGCTTCTCAAGGTGAGTCTGAATTGTAATTGTAGGAGTTCAGGTGAGCGTGTTTCCTCGTCAGGCTGAAAGAACAGCTGATGTGATTGGCATAACAAGTGGCTCTGAAGAGCGTCAGGGATTTCCATACGTTTATCACGCCCTCGGTCTCCTTTGAGCAAACTCCTCCTCTATCTTTGAAGTCGGCCGAATCCACGTGAATTCATGCAGATCACGTGACCTGTTATCAGAGAGAGAACACACTTCAGTCAGGACAGAGCCATGTCAGGGAAGATGTTTCAGACAGAACAAGAAGAGAAGTGAAAATGATGGAGCCGCAGAGGAACCAGAGCTCCCAGCATGCTGTGCGGCAAGCTGATGGAGGCTCCCTGGTGTGGAAGCAGAGGGACTGAAGCTCTGATAAACATATGATGGAGTTGTCTGTATCTGCAGCTCTGATTGGCACTGAAACACAAGAAACAGTCGGACACAGAGGACGAAAACAGCTTCAGAAAGTGTAAAACTAAGCAAAGTATTCTCTTCTGCCAACAGTTCTTATCAACAGAGCCAACATCATATCTATTTATGGAGCTAACATTAGAATATCAGTAAATAAAGTCTGGCTGGAAAGCAGAAGCAGGCGTAACACGGCCCTCTGTATTAATATCCCAGTTCCCATCAGCAGTAACCTGATAATAGACAGATGTCATCATGTGAGATCAGCTCAGATTCTCCTCTAGATAGAACATTTACACTCAGATACAGATCTATATTATGCTGCGCTGCTAATGAAACCCTGTGTTTGGATTTAAAGGGAAGAAAAATCCTCCAGTAAACACTATGAATTGGCTCATTACATCTAACAAGGAAATGCCTGTATATCTGTTCATGGTGAGTCTCAGTATTTCAGAGTCCTGAAGGAACAGTAGATACTATGTTATACACATAAACTGCACAGCATATCAACCAGGTCTAAAAAAGGCCTTACCAGGCTTTATATCAAGTCAAGATTTCCAAATTCGTCTAATTTCAACTGATCAAGACCAGATCCTGCTGTGTTTTTCAAGCCCTGGATTAACTCTGACCCTCCCTGGTTGGGGAAAAACTTTAATACTGCCCCCTTTTAAATCATTAAATCAACTGTAGACATCTTGAGATGTCTGAATAAATTGTTGTTTAATTCTCCTTCCTGGTTAATATCAGAGGAGACATCTGTTTCGTTTATCAGGTCTTTTACAAAACCACTTCAACCCCTATGAGCATGAACGACAACGTTTTGGACTCCCTTTATTCCCAAGCAGCAACCTCTAGTCTTGTGAAATGAAGCCACAGCAGAGATGCTAAAAACCTGCAGTTCCCAGAGTGTCCACTAGAGGCTGGTTGCAGAGGCACTGGGGACCACATACACACTCATTCAAAAAAGCTAATTTTCCACATCAGCAAGCTTTATTTAAAACTTTATTTAATTTTTTTTCTAAAAATTTGTCCTGCTTTCTCCATTCATTAAATAAAGTCATAATTTGAGAAGAAACTGTCGCCTCCTGACTGAGAGAAACATGGCTGATATAAAGCCTCTGTTGATAAAGATACACAGTGTTACTGATCAGGAGTTTCTATCTAAAAATATCTGCATTTTTTGACACGTGATGGAAAAACTGCACATTTTTCTCCCACTTTCCCTCCATCTCTCTACCGTTTTCTCTTCTCCCTCCATCCCGCCAAAAATAGATTTACAGAGCGAGTACAGTGACACAGAAAGAGTGTCAAACAGCCTGAAAAAGTGTCGTACAGAGCCACAGAGCCGAGGGGGGTTGCGAGGAGGCAGGAGGCATTTCTCCCTCTGATCTGATCTGATCTGTATTTTTTTTATTTTTTACTCTTTGCAATTCTTATCAGCTGAAAACCTGCAAACCTCCCGTGACTCGCTGCAGTCTGTCTCTGCTCTTGGCCCCTCAGGGTTTTTAACTCGCTCCAAATATTACTCTGGAAATCTGTAACACCAAAACGTGCGGCACTGTAGGGGAAACAACACACAGGAAAAAACGAGGACAGAACAGCAAACAGTGTGTAAATAAATCTGTTCAGAGTTTATATGCAGAGCAAACAAACCCGCATGTTTAAGGTGAACAATGTTTGTGAGTTTAATGAAATAAAGTGATAAAACATTTTTCATCTTACATGGTTTTTACTGTTTCTACATTTGAAAAAATATGATTATATTACAGTATATATTTTTGAATTTTGTGAAATGGGTTTGCCTTTCTGGGGAAAGTTATTTGCATCATGTTTGTGCAGTTGACCCTTTAGGCCACTGTACTTTTCTGCTGTCTTGAAACAAACCATCCTTTAAGGCCAAACAGCAAATACTGTCAGTCTGATCAGCTCAGGGGTAAAACATCAGCTCCATTAAGAGTCACAGTTAAATTTTAGAGTTAGAGCAATGTTCAAACATGACACAGTTTAAAAACAGGTATAAATACACAATTTTTAAGAGGTATGGGGATGAGGAAGTGTTATGAGGTTATTATTTGTTTTTGTTTTTTTGTTTTGTGTTGTTTCTTTCTTGTTTTATATTGTTTTGTTGTTTTATGTGTGTGCTGTATTAAGTGGATGTAGATTTTGTTTTGTAATATAAAGTCATGAGTGTACTTTATTTATGATAATTATCAGGAATATCAAAACAAGATGCAAGAATGTTTGGTGTGGGTACTTATTATTTCAAGGGAGGGGTGGGAGTTCATAAATTATTATTCTTCTCACTGCTTTTCGAATATGTATTCCTATGTTTTATGTTTAAATGTTTTCTCTTACTTTTCTTGTTTGTTTGTTTTTTTATAGATATTTTTGGTTTGCGAAAGAAACTTCAATCAATCAATTAAAAAATTAAAAGACTCGATAATTTCTCTTCTTATCTGTTGCCTGAAAGAAACTTGTTTGGAGGTCAGTTAACTTAAGGTGAACCTGTAGCTGTGGCGGCTGGTCAGTGGGGGCGCTACTGCGCCGCCACATCACTCTGGACAGGAAGAATGGAGAGGTGACCAGATGCAGCGCAAGATGGCGGACCCAAAGATAGAAAACCACATTTACAAAACGCAATAAGTTCCTCCGATTGGCGGACCCAAAACAATTACTTCCGGTGGAAAGGCTTTCTCGTTGGCGGACTTCCGGCGCCGAAATACTTCAGGTAGTCGGATTTAGTCGCCGGATCCTTTTTTTTTTGCTCCGTTCATTCCATAAGAATCGAATTAAATTTATTATTGAGCTAAAAATCAAAATAAAACGTTTATGTATTAATTATGACTACTGTTTTGTTCTGATTTAATTCTGAAGTTTACAGTAATATGTATATATAGCCTGATGTCCTCATATTCTGATAATTTGTCAGAATAGGTAAATGTATGTAGAAGTTATCATCTTACTCAAATTCTTTTGTAAGAGTTTGCTACAAGTATGGACTGTTTTAACCTCTCGTTACACATCATATAACAGTGTTTTCTAACTTTTCTCTCCAATAGCTTTATTACACAGCACATCAATGTTTCTTAACTTCTCTGTGACCTTGTTTCTCCACTCCTATTAGGACCTCGTTTAATGTCAACAATGTTGCCCTGACCCTCACATATTTTCTGTTGTTCATAATTATGTTTTATGAGAGTGCTTATGTTGCTGCACAAATTTACTCCCCCCCATCCTTTAGTAACATTGTGTAACCAGTGTAGTGATTTGAAATGAGCCTCACACGGTCGCAACAAAATATATGTAGCGGTTGAAATGAGCCTCACAAGGCCGTACCAAAATAGTACTGTAGCGATTGGAATTTATAATAAATGTCTGAAGATTAATAATCTCAAATTATGACATTTATGCACTCGTTGAAAGGGGCACCACCCACCCTTAATGGTGGGAAAATAAAGAAAACAAAAGTTTAATTCAGAAGTCAAACATCAAGTCAGTCTTAATTAATCAGTCTCATATCTTAAGTCGAAATTCTAATTTCAGGGACTCCACTTCTGGAAGAACACTAACAGACAGGAACTTACAAATATAATGATCTGTTTATTACAGGATAAATGATGGTACAACACACATGCAATAAATGATGATAAGATAATGAGGATAAAATAATAATAGGTGAATAAATAAAGATTCTGAGTCAGGCTAGGAGCACTAAAGTTAATGATAGTGAGTGAATATGCGCTAACATATTAACCTACACTAACTTTGGTGTCGAGATAAACTCGGATGTGGATTTGGAGGAATCTAAGATCACCAGAAATAGGTGGATATCTGAGTTATGAACGCATGAGACAGCACCAGCCCTCTCTGGAGCTCTGGAGGTTTGCATACTTAAGTGAGACTGGTCCTTGGAGAAGATGGAGCAGGTTCCGAAGGTCCGGGGCTACTGGCGGTTCGAGCGGTTCAGCTCAGAAGACGACTGAAGTCAGCCGAAGGATGAGCCAGGAGTTGCAGCACTCGGGCCCGAAGCAAAGCCAGCGCCTGTGGATCCTGTGGATGCTCGTTTGGGTACTTCTTTAGTCTCACTCAAAAACTCTGGCACAGAGGATGACCTGGGCCTGTTGGATTGCGTTCGGAGGTGACTTTGAAATCACGCAGAAAACTCAGAAAAACGAGGCTCGAAGAGCAGAGAAAACTTTCAAAAATGGCTTCGCGAAATTAAAGAAAATCAATCAAAGGCTTAATCTTGAATTGCTATGTGCACAAAAAGTTGAAGTTTCAAAACTTGAACTAAGACGATGTTAAAGAAAAATCAACGTGAATCAACACGTGGCGTAAAACTTAGAAGACTAAGAAAAAGTTCTAAGAGAAAATAAAGAAACGCACCACAGAAGGGTGTGGGCAGAAGAGCAGAAGCATAAGCGGAATAAGAGGAATAAGAGCGTGTGAGCAACCCGACTTCACTGGTTTTATCTTCTTCACACTGGGAGTGGCTCCGGCGTGTGTGTGAGGAGACAGAGGAGGGGTCGTGTGGTCTTTGATTATTTGATCTAACTTATTCTTTTGGCTGGTAAAAGAGTCAGATCTGATACTCACTCACTATGATTAATATCATTGAATGCTTGGTTTCATGACAAATAATTTGACACTAAACACATATGAATGAAGTGTAGGATCACATCAAACATTCTCATTATGTTTTAAGTATCACATTGAACATGCTAAATTACTCTGAAATGAAACAGACAGTAACACATGGAAACTGTGAACAACAAAAGCGTAAACACATGTGAATGAACTTCATCATGATTAATAATGGATTCTAAATACTCACATTAAGGTTATTCAATGACATTATAACCACCTAATGGTTAAAAATACTAAATAAACAACTACAATATAAACCAAACATTTCTAAACTATTTCTGTTACTTAGAGTAAACTTAGGATTCATAGTCAATAAATTTAACTCTTAAAAGTTCATGAAACAGTCTGAAAAGCTGTTGGTCTAAAGAACTAAAGAATAAGGATTTATTCTGTCAGATAAGATAACTTGGCTTCTGAAGCACATAGAAAAACGGGAAACATCTCATTTTGACACAAATTTCATGATTAGACAGATTAGTACATTGCTGAATGCATAAGATGTCATGATCAGTCATTTGTATTCTTTCACCAAAGGAATGCAGTCTTTATCAGTGTATGGTCGAGCAGGGTTTTACGACCGAGGTCTGGAGGTCAGTGTCCCCCCTTTTCCTAGGGTCCGTATGTTCACACACTTTAAGACACTAAATCTCAAATGGGAGATCTGGGTTGAGACGTTAATGTTTATTTAGATGGTCAGCAAATGGAGTCAGTTTGAAAGGTAATAAAACTCTGTCTCTGTTCTCCGAATTGACCAATCGTGAAGAGTCAGAGGTTTAGTCAACCTCCTGTTGGGTCACTTATTTAACCTGAAAGTGCAAACACGTCTGGAAAGATTTATATCCTGTTTCCTGGGACCAGATAAGGAAGCTTTCCTGTGAGGAATGTGTGGGTTTCACACCCAGGGTTGTCTTGATTGCTACAGTCCCCCCTTCGTCACGGTGGTCCTGTCCATGGAGCATCGGGACGACGAGTAGACAACCATGAAGCAGCAGCAGCAGCAGCAGGTGTATGCAAATAGGACTGATGCGTCTCATTATCACTATGTGAATCACTAGTATCTGCTTTAAGATAACATCAAGCATGCATTAAGCTATCAAATAAAATCGTCTAGGTGTTAGACTTTTCTCAGTTAACTATTGGTAGACTAATGTGAAAGAAAATCTCCTAATTTTCAGTATTAATGAGATTTAGAAAAGCACTCTTTAGTCTGAATGCTAACTGGATCTAAAGCTATAGCTGTTTTTCATGCTTGCTGGAGAAGTCTGAAAGTTCAATTTCAGTTTCAAAAATGGTTAAGACTTAGGTGGAAAAGAAATGTCTGCTATAGACATATTAACCATCTGTGTATGAGCATAGTCAACCTGAATCACAAACATCAAAAGTTTACTGCACAGAGTTTCTCTTAAACTTTGTCTGTTAAACTTGGGGATGATGCTCTTATCGGTTTGACTAATTATCTGCTGTTGAGTCTGAAATTTGTCAATCTGAGTCTTAGTGACAGAAATTTCAGCTTTTAATCTGTTCATGGGATATTTGACAGCTGACAAGCTGACTATATTGACAGAGGAGAGACAAATGCTAACAAAGAAAGCAGCAACTGGTATTGCAGTCATCAATGTATCACCACAGCATTTGGATATCTTATTGGAGTCATTTAGCTTTGGCTAGGTGACTTCTGCTTTCGCAGGACTCACACCTTCATGACTCCACAGTGTTAATCTCAGTGGTTAGCTGAGTAGTCATGTTTATTCACCTTCAAAGTGGATGAAACCGATTGAGGTGGATAATAAGATCGTCGTTTCTGAGAGTGTAATTTACTCTGATTCTGCCAGTCATTCACCCCCCTTTGGCGGTGTTGATGGTTTTTCCTTTGTCTGGGATAAAACCCACCGTGACGGGAGTCTGAATAACAACGGTTGGTCTCAAAGTTTACCTGGCGTTGGTCTGTGTCAGAACTGGGCCTTGGTGTGTAACTTTGACCTATGTGAGTTTGTTGCGGTCGAAAAGGTTTTGAAGGCCTGGTTAACCACTCATTTGGAGGCTTATCGGAGCCTGAAAATACACAGTCTGAAGCTTCGTTCAGCTCCATGGGCAGTGATCTTGTCTCCATAGCCAAGAGAGTAACGGACTCTGCTTTCTTAGCCAAAGTTTGTCGTTGTTTGGCAAAACCTTTTACAGCAAGTTCACGAAGCTGTCGGCTAGTCGAAGTGTTTGGACAAGCTAAGACGCCAAGGTGATGACTGGTGGTAGGGTGGAGGTTCTGGACGAACAGCGTTTTGAAGTTCAAGTCCTCCTCCATTTCTGGTTCATTTCGGAAACCAAAGTAAGCTTCGCGTAAGCGGTTGTAATAATGTTGGGGAGATTCTGATCTCCCTTGTTTAATAGACAGAGCAGCAGAAAGGCCTGTCTGGGTCAAATGATCAGAAAACTCTTTGATTAATGCTTGGCAGAGCAAGTCATAATTATTTCTGACATGATAAGGCTGTCGTTCAAGGAAACTGCTAACCTCTCGACTTGACGTCGCCTTAATAAGGTAGATTTTGTCATCAATGGTTGCACCTGGAAATTTCCTCAGGTAAAAGTCAATGTCTTTCAAGTAGGTGCAGGTGTCAGTAGCACCTTGGTGCTCAGGTTCAAAGCGTGCTATGTTGCGAGCAATTTTGTCAAGATCCCTATCTGAGGGAAATGGTAAGAAGCCATCATGGGGAGGAGAGTAGGACTCTTGGTTTAAGGATGACCTCTCAGGGTCAAGCAGGGTCCTGTCATGATGCTGAGAGAGATACTTAAGAGTTGGTTTGGAAGGAAGTGATGGCGCTCTCTCAGGAGGCTGATCACCTATCATTTCTTCAAGAAAAGTTTGCTCCATGCGTTCTCTTTGGGCTCGACCCGACTGGAGGGAGCATTGTAACTCTCTTTGGGCATCTTCAAGTTCTTTGTCTGTCTTTTCTTGCCGTTCTTGACAAAGAATTAACTGTCTTTGAGCTATCTTGAGCTGGTGCTGTAAGGTAGAAGTTTGCTTCTCCTTAACTTCAAGAGCTTCAGCACGCACTTTGACCAGTGCTTTCAAAGCTTTTACATCTTCTGTTGCTTGCTCTAGTAGGGATTCTGACTGTATCAGATCCTCTGTGGTCTTAGCAAGCTGCTTATTCGTGTCATCAAGTTCTTTCTCCTTTTTGTAAAGGTTTTCATTAAGTCTTTCAATCTTGTCTTTGAGATCAAGATTTTCTTCATGACTTATCAGTGAGGGAAGCTTTGACGCTTCACATCTGGCACTGTGTTTTTCTAAAACACTTAAAGACTTCTTAGTCTCCTCTAGCGTCTTTTTCAGAGCGCTGTTTTCATCTTTTTGCGCCTTTATCTTTGCGAAAGCGCATTCCAGCAAGTAGTCTTTATACTCAAGCTGAGAAGACATCATGACAGACATGCATCTAGTGAGCTCTTTGTCACGAAGTGTCGTGGTTAAGGCTGTTTCCAGTAAGTCAGCCATTTCATCCTCCGGATTGGAGGGTTTGGCCTTATGAATCTTAGTCATGTACTGAGGTATCAGCTGACTAGTTAAGTTTGCTAACACTGTGTGTATGTCCCTCAGGGGGTCTCCCTGGCTGGACTCTTTTGTGTTAGGCATGTTTGGTTTTGGTAAAGAGGAGCAGGTGGTTGGTTGATGAGTTTGAGTTGGCTTAAAATGAAAAGAAGAAGCAAAATATCAAATTAAGTGAGTTAATCGACTTAATTTATCAGTGCTTGATAAAGAGGAAGAGCCTATCTGAGTAGATCTCTAATGGAGAGAAAAATAACATAAAGTTAAATTCATTTCAATGAAAATTGAAATAAAACAAGGTGAAATAATGTTAAATTAAATTTAACATCAGATACAGAACCATTGAATAAAGGGTTCAAATTGTCTCCGTGTTGCAGAGATCAGCAAAGCTTAAATAAACTGCCTGATGCAGTTGGATGAATCTGAAACCAATGAAATTGTCAATTTAAGGAATTAACTCTGAAGTTAATTCACAAATCGCAATAAAGCCAAAGATTCAACTACCCAATTCATCTGAAATGGTAAAATAGATTTCAAATATTAATTAATTTGTTCATTAATTAATTAATCTTATGAGGAGGGTTAATACATTCATGTATTATAGGGAACAGTAAAACTGCTCAATGGTGTGATAAGTAACAACAGATCAGGTGATTGATTCAATGAGTTACTTTATCAATACATTATGTAGGCTCTTATAACAAAGATAAAAATCAAAAATCAATGATCAATGATTTAGAATAAGCACATCAAACTTCATCAACCAAGTCAATCACTTGAGTTATGTCTGTAGAGTGTTACACACTGACTACAGAGAGGCAGTACAGCTGGCTGATACTGCAGGCAGATAATAGCAGTGTTAGCTCAATACCAAAAACAACCATGTGGGGCAGTATGGAGTTGGGGTAACTGCACAAGCTCAACACAAGTGGAGAAGAAGAAGAGAAGAGGAAACAGTCATCCAACTAGCCTCTTGTGGCTGTGAGGAGTTGGGAAGTGTGCAGGAAGGGGCCTTTAGGCTCTGCCTCCTTGAAGGGCCTTATCTGCTTAAGGCCAAAGGGTCAGTCTCTCCACTGACAACAAAGGGTTAACATTTTACAGCAGGCTGCGTCTGCACCCTCAAACATAGAACTTTACACCATCTGCTCAGGCAGATTGGTTCAATAAAATCATTTACAGGAACAAGGATCAAAGTGGCAAATCCTTAAACAGCAGATTCAACTGCAGACTTAAAAAAAATCACAAATGCGGCGATTTGTGATCACGGATTTTGTCTGAATTCATTCAAACAACAGCCTCCCACTGTTACAGTGGTTTCCTGTGACAGGTAGTTAATCTGTCAGGGGAAAGGAGGAAATCTGAATCCCATACATATAGTTACTAGAACTTCGTAGCAGACGATAGAGACAAGAATCAAAGTGACAAATCCCTCAACAGCAGATTCAACTGCAGACTTTTAAAAAAAATCACAAATGCGGCGATTTGTGAACACAAATTTTGTCTGAATTCAATCAAACAACAACCTCCCACTGTTACAGTGGTTTCCTGTGACAGGTAGCTAATCTGTCAGGGGAAAGGAGGAAATCTGAATCCCATATAGTTACTAGAACCTCGTAGCAGACTACAGAGACTTCAGGGGCTTGAAACCACAGCTCGGAGCATCGCGAACACTGGGTTCAGCCAAAGGCCTTAAATACAAGCGTACGGCGACGCAACAATCGTGCACTTCAATATTGGACAGTCTAGACAGAGCAGAAGAGTCAGTCTCACTGCTACTCAGAACAACCATTCACGCTGTCCAGCTCAAACACAGACTACAGGCATGTAGTACAAAAGTGTGTGAAACACAGAGCATAAAGGTTTTATGCATAGATCATGAAAACATCAGAACTTAGTCAAGCAACTTCAGCAAGCAGAGCCTTGATTGTGATTTAGTCTAAAATAGCCTGGAAATAAGTTTCTCTCATCAATTTGGAAGGCTAAGTTTTAGGTTGTCTGTTAGTATCCAGAAGTTTTGTTTGAAACGCCTCACACGGGGCACCAAAATAATATGTAGTGATTTGAAATGAGCCTCACACGGTCGCAACAAAATATATGTAGCGGTTGAAATGAGCCTCACAAGGCCGTACCAAAATAGTACTGTAGCGATTGGAATTTATAATAAATGTCTGAAGATTAATAATCTCAAATTATGACATTTATGCACTCGTTGAAAGGGGCACCACCCACCCTTAATGGTGGGAAAATAAAGAAAACAAAAGTTTAATTCAGAAGTCAAACATCAAGTCAGTCTTAATTAATCAGTCTCATATCTTAAGTCGAAATTCTAATTTCAGGGACTCCACTTCTGGAAGAACACTAACAGACAGGAACTTACAAATATAATGATCTGTTTATTACAGGATAAATGATGGTACAACACACATGCAATAAATGATGATAAGATAATGAGGATAAAATAATAATAGGTGAATAAATAAAGATTCTGAGTCAGGCTAGGAGCACTAAAGTTAATGATAGTGAGTGAATATGCGCTAACATATTAACCTACACTAACTTTGGTGTCGAGATAAACTCGGATGTGGATTTGGAGGAATCTAAGATCACCAGAAATAGGTGGATATCTGAGTTATGAACGCATGAGACAGCACCAGCCCTCTCTGGAGCTCTGGAGGTTTGCATACTTAAGTGAGACTGGTCCTTGGAGAAGATGGAGCAGGTTCCGAAGGTCCGGGGCTACTGGCGGTTCGAGCGGTTCAGCTCAGAAGACGACTGAAGTCAGCCGAAGGATGAGCCAGGAGTTGCAGCACTCGGGCCCGAAGCAAAGCCAGCGCCTGTGGATCCTGTGGATGCTCGTTTGGGTACTTCTTTAGTCTCACTCAAAAACTCTGGCACAGAGGATGACCTGGGCCTGTTGGATTGCGTTCGGAGGTGACTTTGAAATCACGCAGAAAACTCAGAAAAACGAGGCTCGAAGAGCAGAGAAAACTTTCAAAAATGGCTTCGCGAAATTAAAGAAAATCAATCAAAGGCTTAATCTTGAATTGCTATGTGCACAAAAAGTTGAAGTTTCAAAACTTGAACTAAGACGATGTTAAAGAAAAATCAACGTGAATCAACACGTGGCGTAAAACTTAGAAGACTAAGAAAAAGTTCTAAGAGAAAATAAAGAAACGCACCACAGAAGGGTGTGGGCAGAAGAGCAGAAGCATAAGCGGAATAAGAGGAATAAGAGCGTGTGAGCAACCCGACTTCACTGGTTTTATCTTCTTCACACTGGGAGTGGCTCCGGCGTGTGTGTGAGGAGACAGAGGAGGGGTCGTGTGGTCTTTGATTATTTGATCTAACTTATTCTTTTGGCTGGTAAAAGAGTCAGATCTGATACTCACTCACTATGATTAATATCATTGAATGCTTGGTTTCATGACAAATAATTTGACACTAAACACATATGAATGAAGTGTAGGATCACATCAAACATTCTCATTATGTTTTAAGTATCACATTGAACATGCTAAATTACTCTGAAATGAAACAGACAGTAACACATGGAAACTGTGAACAACAAAAGCGTAAACACATGTGAATGAACTTCATCATGATTAATAATGGATTCTAAATACTCACATTAAGGTTATTCAATGACATTATAACCACCTAATGGTTAAAAATACTAAATAAACAACTACAATATAAACCAAACATTTCTAAACTATTTCTGTTACTTAGAGTAAACTTAGGATTCATAGTCAATAAATTTAACTCTTAAAAGTTCATGAAACAGTCTGAAAAGCTGTTGGTCTAAAGAACTAAAGAATAAGGATTTATTCTGTCAGATAAGATAACTTGGCTTCTGAAGCACATAGAAAAACGGGAAACATCTCATTTTGACACAAATTTCATGATTAGACAGATTAGTACATTGCTGAATGCATAAGATGTCATGATCAGTCATTTGTATTCTTTCACCAAAGGAATGCAGTCTTTATCAGTGTATGGTCGAGCAGGGTTTTACGACCGAGGTCTGGAGGTCAGTGTCCCCCCTTTTCCTAGGGTCCGTATGTTCACACACTTTAAGACACTAAATCTCAAATGGGAGATCTGGGTTGAGACGTTAATGTTTATTTAGATGGTCAGCAAATGGAGTCAGTTTGAAAGGTAATAAAACTCTGTCTCTGTTCTCCGAATTGACCAATCGTGAAGAGTCAGAGGTTTAGTCAACCTCCTGTTGGGTCACTTATTTAACCTGAAAGTGCAAACACGTCTGGAAAGATTTATATCCTGTTTCCTGGGACCAGATAAGGAAGCTTTCCTGTGAGGAATGTGTGGGTTTCACACCCAGGGTTGTCTTGATTGCTACACCAGGGACATAATTTATGAAATGGTGTGCTTCCTGGTGAACCTCTTCAGGATTGCTTGACTGTGCAAAATCCAAGTATACAATAGTTGTAGAGACACAAGTCACATGATCTCTTTAAGGTTCAGAAGAGCCATATAGCAAAAACAATTGAATAGCGATATCATTACAGACTGTGTAAAGAAATGGGAAATTGTCATACAACTGCTTTGAAGATTTCTTTAATTTTTTCCAAACAAAATTGTGAACAGTAAAAAAAAATATATATATACAAAATTCAGCACTGCCGTCGGTGTGGTGGGGGGCTTAAAACACGTTGCCACAGGCCATCATCAGCTCTGCTCTGAACCGGTTGATGCCATGCTCCTTCAGTGCTTTGATCAAAAGCTGAAAAACAGTCAAATAATGTGAACAATTGAAGTTATGCAGTATGGGTTAATTGTTGTTCTTGAGCTTTCCAAATGAATAAGAACAACCTCTTAACAATATCATCATTTTTCAAAGCAAGCTATATAGTTTGATCTACTCACCTCTGGGAGCATGACGTCAAAAACGAAATCAAGCAGATGAATCTCGCCTCTCTTTATTTTTTTAGAAATGTTTGTTGCCACCTCAATGAACCGCAGGAGCTCGAACATCTATTGAAGAAAAACACAGAAAGTAAACACCTTTCAAATGTAACACCCCTGAGAGTAAAAATACTCATGATGGATGGCATTTTTACTTACGCGCTGCTCACTCCAACTTAGTGTCCTTATCTTAAGATGCTGCTTTAGTCGGAGTGAGGTGGCGGGATTCCTCCAAAGGAACATTCTGTTGGAGCGGATCTTTCCAGACAGTAGATCATCGTGTAATGTCTGAAACCAAAGAGCAAGAGACAAAAATGTAATCATCTGAAAAAGAAACGGTGGCTTTAACAACTGATAGTGCATTCAAAAGCAACCTTGATCTGTGTCTTAGAAAAGACAGCATGAATTCCTCAACTGTCAACAGCATCCTTGATCCTGCAGAGAAATAAGAAAAGAGCAAGCCCTCATTTTTTCATCCTTTGAGCCTCGTATTTTTGACTGATACTATGTTTCCTTGATAAATTATGTTATACCGAGGATGCTCAATGGAGTCCTCGCACCCGCAGTCAAACGGCTCCATTTCAATCCCAGCACAATCCTGATGCAGCCAGCCCCTGCACGTCTTGCACTGGACCCATTTTATGACGTTTACCTCAGGGTAAAGCAATCTGATCAAATGAGAGACAAACATAATATCAAACAAACATGCTGTCCAATTGATTATACCTCTGCAGCACATTTGAATGTATAAATAATTTTCCTGCATGATTCGTGCATTTAAACTATATGTAAAAGTGGTCACTTCATGGAAAATCACTGAATAGGCCCCGATAATTGCATTTATTAAATTGAGTCTGCAACACACCTCTCTCCTGTGTTGTTCGATGTCTGGTAGACACAGAATTGCATTGAATCTGCCATGCACATTCTTTGGACATCCGATACCGTCTGCGTCATGGTTTCCTTGACAAGGCAATTTGAAAAGTAACATCAATTACCAAATACATCGAGACAATGTTGATCCATACAACTGTGTGCATTTTGAAGGACTCCCACTGAGATAATACTGTTTTTACAAGGCAATTTCCTAACCTCTGTGTCCTGCTGCTCTGCCTTCCTCTTTAGACTGAAGACCGGAGTATGCTTTCCAGCAATGAGCTCTTGACATTCTTTGGTCCAGTGGGCGAAGATTTTCCCACAACTGTAATGACAATATGTCTTTAAGTACAATATATTGATTGTCTTCCAGTTAATTAGGACATCTAGTTTACTTAAACTGTCTACCTGTTCAAAGAATTGTTCTCCAGGAGCAACAGGCACCACCATCGCCGCCAAACAGGCATGTCATGCTGAAATTGTTGTTTGTATTTCATTTTAGTGCACAATACAAAATACAATCTTGAGGATGACACTGCGTGTTGAAAAGTACTTACAACTGAGTAGTCAAACTGTGACTCCATAACGATGTACATGGCAGACTTTAAAAAAAAAATTATGAGACAACATGTGAGATAACTTTAAAAAAGTCCATGTTGGAAAGTTATTCTAGATACAATATTTGTGCATTACAGCTCGTTATGACCTACCATCAACATGAATATGCCACAGTCTGAGCCGAAGTCCTGGCTGGGGAAGCCCTGATTTAACAAAAGCAAACGTTAATCATCTTGTCACATACACTTTGTAGGAGCCAGATTGGGGTTTTGCAGTTTATTGTTATGTATTTTTTGTGCCAGCAGATGGTGCTATTGTGCCCGTCTATTTAATGGGTGGGTTGATTAGGAGAGGTGCGCACATAAAATGATGAATGAGTAAATAAATCAAAACGACAGAAAATGTGTGTGACATGTGACATTATTCCACCTGCGGGCACGCATCAACTCAAGCAAAAAGGTGTTCGCCACAAGTAACAGCATTGGAAAGCTGTTATACACTTTTCAACTGTAATATAGAGCATGCACAAATACCTCCAAATCTCTGCCCGTTTTCTCAGTCCATTGCCCAGGACATATCTTCTGCGCAATGTTCCTGTTAATTTGAGAGCGTCACTTAGATTTCCCATGATGGAAACAATGGAATGCAGGGTTAGGGTTAGTTTGAGTGGTCGGAGGTGAGATTGAATGAATGCGGACGGCTTGCTTCTTTTCAAACTTCCTGAGAGTTCTTCTTCTTCTGTAAATTTTGCCGTCAGAAAGTGTAGGTACATACCGCCACCTACTGTTCTGGCATCGCAAAGCAGAAGTTCAAAGTTCATGTTTTGGGTCCGCCAATCGGAGGTAATGCGGAAACTTATTGCGTTTTGTAAATGTGGTTTTTTATCTTTGGGTCCGCCATCTTGGCGCTGCATCTGGGTACTCTTGGAAGAATGACGGACTGTTATTGAATAATATCTATTCTTCAAAAAAAAAAAAAAACAGATTGTTTTTCTTTTTTATTAATGTGGTAAACATCTTATCAACTGTGAAAAATGAATAAACTGCATTAAAAATGCAGATTAATAAGAGTTCTCTCGGTGACTAAACGTACTGATTGATCACGTGTTGATGGCCCACAGGCTTCCATTGGCTCGCGTTTTGCGCGCTCCGTCCTCTCATTACAAGGAAATGAGCTGCGAAAACGTGATCAGCAGGTCTGTGACCCAGAGTTCAGCACTGTTTACGGTAAAAAGTACTTGAACGAGCTATACCTTTAAAAATCTAATATCACCGTCACTGTAACTCAAGTTTTAAAGGACTCTTGAAACGCTAATTTTGGTCAAATACTCGCCAACTACCGCGGTTCAGGCAGAAAACAGTATTTTACTGTAGTTTACTCTGAGGACTCAGAAGCTTCTGGGTCCACAGAGTCAAAGGAAAGCTTCAACACTTACTGACTCTGGATCCGGAACAACAACAGCGAGTTTCGAAGTTTAGTTTGTTGGAAACACAGAGCTGCTTCCGGACCTGGGCCGGTGTAGGCCTCCTGGAAGAATGGACCAATGGTGAAGGTCCTGATTCATGGATCCGGCTGAAAAACAGATCTGCAGACCCAGGATAGCTAAGCCCAGCAACAGGTTTCAGGAAGAGAGCCTGCCTTCACTTCGCCTTGTGGACCAAAATGGACCCCCTATGGACACTTAAGATCCAGTACCGTTCTTGGGACCCTGGATTCGAAAATGGACTCTTGGGTGGGAACCAGGATGAGAAGGAGCCAGGAGAACCAGGAGAAGCTGAGTCCACTAAGGTCAGTGAAAAATGTTCTGATTTAAACTCTGTTGTCTCTACCTGAACTGTGACACACCTGCTGCTGAAACAGACTTACAAGCGTGCACGTGTTTGGTTCATGCGTGTGTGTGCGCGGAGCGTGCGTGAAGCGCGAGCTTGCAGAGTGCAGTGTGTGTTTTGTGGCCTCAGAGTCAACATCAGCCTTGGTGATGACTGCGCGTGCATGTGTAAAGTGTGTGTGTATGTGAAGTACATGCAGTAGTCATACTAGTGAGAACTGAGTCTGTGTCAGACTTGAATATTACACTGAATCTCTATGATCTCTTCATATGCTGTTAAAGACAAACTTCCTGTATGAACACATGAATTTGCTGCTTTCACTGAACTAAACTCCAGACCAGGAGCAGGAACATTTTTCAAGAGGTCTGAGCAGGCTGTTAAATTTTTGGACCTGATCAACTGAACATCAAATCTGAGTAAAAATAAGACTTTAGTTTTTGTTAGTTAGTGCAGAGCTGTAATACCTGTTGTTGTACAGAACATGTGTATTTTGGATGTAGTTAAAGCCCCCATGGAGGGTCCTATTTTTAGTGTTTTTAAGCTAATTTCCCACCATGTGATGTTGTGTCTCCTTCCTCCATGTTACGGTTATTCATGATTATATAATAGAAAAATGAGAAGACGCCCAGAGCTATAAATAAATGAAAAGTCAACAAATAGAAAAAGTCATTACTGTGAGATAATTAGAGAAATAAGGAAGTCAGGTTGTTGTTGAAGTTTGTTTGACCTTGTGTGGTGTTTACTGCTTCATTAATCTGAATATGATGTTTAAAGCAGACACTGAGCTCCACTAAAGCTCTACAGGTTCACTCACTAAAACATTACATTTTTTATTCACCAGAGATTTATGGATGAATTTGAAGTTTGAGTGTAAATTTGTGACGAATGACTGTAAACTTTTGGGGTAAAGAGTCTCAATGAACCACCAGGAAAAATGTGAAACTATGGCATTAAAGAGGCCAAAGCTGTATTAGCCGTTTGACTCGGTTGTGTAACCGTCAGCGTCACACTTCCAGCTCTCATATTTCTGCTCCACATGTGTTTTCAGCTCCCAAACAGTTTTTTTCTCCGCGTTGCCTCTGAAGCAGAGCAGCTTGGCAGCTTTCAGCTACAGTGTGGATGTAATCAGGCGTGGCTGCTAAAATCCGACCTGTGAGAGTCTGTTAGAGTTGTAGAGAGACTTAAAGGGGAATTCTGTCTATTTCTAATTCAGCTCTATTTTGGTCTGCTTCAGACTGCAGCACCAACCAGTCAAAGTACAACCCTGACTCTACATGTTAGCTACAACTGAATTTTATGGTTTGCAAATCATTCAAAGTTGACTGTCGAATAAAGACAGCATACTGAATTTTTAAACTGAGTGAAGTCTCCAACTACTTTCATTAATTTCAGACAGGTTAATAACATGAATGGGTAAAAAAAAAGGATATTCAGAGAGGCTGAGTCTCTCAGAAGGAAAGATGGGAAGAGGTTCACCACTCTGTGAGAGACTGCGTGAGCTAACAGTTCAACAGTTTCAGAATTATGTTCCTGAGTGTCAAATGTGAAAGAATGAGTGGATTTTGTCATCTACAGTACATAATATCATTCAAAGATTCAGAGAAACTGGAGAAAAGGGACAATGAACAAAACCAAGACTGGATGGTCCTGATCTTGAGATAAAAAAAAATGAGATCAAAACTAAACCATGAAAAGAGGAGACCAGGTAGAAACAGGATCCATAGACACCAGAGACTGACCAATCAGAATCTGACATCATGGACAGTGTCTCCTCTGCAACATCTGCTGCCATCCAGACAATGACTTTTCCAGGGAAGACCTTCATATTTCAGCAAGATAGTGACAAACCACATTCTGCAGGGATTACAACAGATGACTGTAGTAGAAGAGTCCTGCTGATAAACTGGCCCGCCTGAAGTCCTGACTTGATAAAAGAGACCCTAAAATGCAAGAATGGGGTCGTTTTTTACTGTCCTGAAACCTCAGTCTCTCCTCAGTCCCAAATGTTAAGTGTTTGTGTGAGTGCTCATAGATTTTGTTCTTGCTTCAGATAACAGAGCTGCCCTGTGACTGTGATAGCACAGAGGGGTTTTACTCACTCAGGAGTCAGGGACAGGTCTGGCACCAGGAAATATGGGACTGCCACTCTGCTGTTAGTGACCTTACAGGACACTTCCTCACCTCATTTTCGTCCCCTGTCCTCCTTCTCTTCCAATTTTCACAGCACAGCTGTAAACTTTAACCTCACTTACTGAAAGTGAGCTTTGTTTTTTTTCCAGCAGACGTCAAAGTGTCTTTTTTTCCTGGCAGAGCATCAGTCGCTCTCTGCCAGCCTGCATGTGGGAGTGATTATCTGTTCTGTCAGAGTGTCTCTTTCTCCCTCCTCCACCTGAAGCTTCTCCTCCTAAAGCCTCGCCTTTAAACAGGAGCACGTCTGACTGATGGAGAACACGTGTGAAATATCACAACAGAATATCAGGAGGCAGGAGGGAGTCTGGAAACTCACTCTGAGCGGGTGAATGAAGGCTGAGAGACTCGTGATAAAGAGGAGGAGGAGGAGGATAACAGATCAAATAAATCAGCTGTAGTATTATCTGTAGCTGCAGCAATCTCAACCTTACTCACCTAGCACCAAGAACACAACCACATACTTACAGAAGCAGGACTGCAGGCAGGCCAGTTTATCATCAGGACTTTTCTACTACAGAGCCATGCTGTTGTAATCCCTGCAGAATGTGGTTTGTTACTGTCTTGCTGAAATATGAAGGTCTTCCCTGAAAAAATCATTGTCTGGATGGCAGGAGATGTTGCTCCTGAACCTGTAGATATTATTCAGCACTAATAGAGCTTTTTTGGTGTTGGGTTGTAAATTTTACCTGAAAAAGAAAGACAGAAGATTTGAGTCCAAACCAAGTATCAGTGAAATGTAGGACATCAACACCAGGATTCATAACAACACTTAGAGGAGAGCTGAACTAAAAAACAGAAAAACCTGAAAATTTGTCCTGATTTTTCCCAAGAGCACATTCATACTCTCCCTTTTCACACAAGCTCAGGCCCTAATACCTTCAGTATGAAGCTCTGGCTTGTTGCATTATAAAGTGGATTCTGGTCGGTCATGCAACAACAGAAGCAGTCCTCTGAAGTGTTTCCCCTCTGCTGTGAGCGCCGTCGCCTCAGGTCATGTTTGAGCCCTCAGACCTCTGCAGACGTTTCCGGTCCTCTGTACAGTCCTCACCTGAGGTGAAAGACGCAGACAGCAGGATAAAGAGGGATTGGATGGGATCATCTCTCCACTCTGTTTGAGAGGCTCCTTTTATTTCCTGGGAATGAAAAAAAACAAACATAATGTCCTCTTTCTTTGGATACATAAAAGAGGGACAAAGTGGACTGAACCCGAGGCTTTAACAGCGTCTTTGTTCGACCTGCAGAGGGAGAGTTATTGGGTTAGAAATGCGAGGAGGAGAGGAGGATTACAGGAGCCGCAGGGTTTCCTTTAACTCTCTGCTGAACAACAACAATGAGCTTTATGACACTCTCCAGGAGGAGGAAGGAAGGAGTAACATCCACGAGAAGGAGCGCTCTGATAGGTTTGACTCTCCGTACTGCTGCACCACAGAGGAAAAGAGCTGCCAGGATCAAAACTTAGTAAATGTACATACAATGAATCAATATAATTTCATATAAGGTTGTGTAATAAGATGTGATATAATATAAAAATGGCTTTAGTAAATTTATCAAATTTGACATAGATTCATATATTTTTACATTTGAATGAAGCCCCTTTAAGTGCATTATGTACAAATAGGTATACTGATGCAAAATTGCAAATATTAGATGTGTTTGGAAAACAAGGGCCTGTTTCCTCTGAAAGCGATTTTTTTTCCTCGTGGTGACCTCAAAGTTAGAGCACCTCTCAGTGGTGCTTAAAGCTGCTACTTTACAAAGGCTGCACCTTACCTTATGTTAACGTAGCTTTGTTAGCTATGTCACATTAAGTGACATTACGCCATGTTACGTTACCTAAGGCTACGCTGTGTTAAGTTACACTCCACTTTGCTAAACAATGTCAAATTGTGTTTTTACACTACACATTAAGCTGCTCGCTCTGATTGTCACTAGAAGAGTTACTCACTACTTTATGTTACACTTCATTTACTATGTTGTGTTACCACGCTACACTGAGTTATGCAGCTGGTGCTTATAATTGCTACTATACAAAAGTTGTTCACCACAGGCGTACTCCTAACACTCCCTGTAGGTTCTTGGGACTCACTGGAGTGAAAAGCTGTAACTGCCCATATTGTTATGGTAGGGTGAAATTAAAACCTTTGAATTAGTTATTAGTTATATTGGCATTGATTATTGTTGTTATTGAAAGTTGCCTCACTTCTGTATAAAAACAGGATATGTATCCAAGCATGTCTCTTTTAGTGCTCTCGCCAACTTTTCAGGCATGTGATGCTGCAGGAGCAAACAGTTTGTTTTTTAGGATGTTACTGACATCTAGTGGTAAAACAGTGTCACTGCAGTGGTAGAGGGCTTCAACAAATCCATGGTACAGAGCAAACAAACAGTTTAACTACAGAAAATCTAACTTTCTCTGGAGAAATTTACAGATAAGAGCAAAATAAGTCATG